AAAGTAACAATTGGAAATACTTACAGCTTCAGGCATTTACTCTTCTTGCAGTTGCAACGCTTGCAACCACCGCCTTCACCTGGGTCCGATAATTTCATCCTGGAAAGATTGCAAAAACTTGCTCCTTTTATTTAGAAGCAGATAATAATATGAAACAATGTATGGTATGAAGATTGAAGACGGCTAAAGACTAGCCTTTTCTTTTGAGGGCTCAACTTGGCAAACTCTTTAGAACCACCAGACTTTTCAGTACACTTCCTCTTAATACCAGGTGTTGACTGGTCCTCCAATGGATTTAAGATTATAGAATCATTTGAAGGTTCGGCAATATAAGTGGACACAGAGCGACATGAAGTAACTCTTCCATGCCTATTATCATCAGTGCTAGCTGAAACATTCTCCACCGGAGGTAACATAGAAGAATAATTTGAAGAATCAACAGGATGAGATTCATTCACATGCATGGACTTCTTCCCGGCAATACTGAAAGTATGAGCTGATCTCAAATTTACTTTTGAACCAGATCCAGCTTGCACAGCATTGATTATACTGTTCAGGTGCAAGCCAATACCTGAAGGCTTCGGAGTCTTGATGGTAGAGTTTACACGATTTCTAGGACATAACCCTTCACTAACCAAAGTACTTTTAGCCGTCTGACCTGATAATACCTTGTGCTGAGCATCTTCAAACTGGAGAGAACGCCTATGTACTCCCCGGAGTTTAAAAGCCTAATATGTTTGGCAAAGTTTCAGAACAAAGAAGAAGAACAATATAAAGTTAACTGAAGTTCCCATTCATTTTTCGGAATATATTCAGGTGAGAAACAAAAAAATCGGTCCTCAAATCCAGACCAAGTCGAGGGTCAGAAACAACCAAGCAGCACAGTAATTAGACATCCAAAATGAAAGAAATTTCACGCATCCCCGATAATAGAGTCATACAAACAAAAGAAGAAAATATATTGCGAAAACTATTAATTTAGTCATCTTGAAGGAGCTCGTTGACGTGGAAGTTTTCACACGTAAAGAAGCAGGCAGTATTAAATCGTGACATCAACATCTAAAGAAGCCACAGATTTGTAGAACATAAAAACCAATTTCAAATATATATTCTATATGAGTGTGTGTGTCACAAAATTCAAACCTCACGGTCATTTTGCACTCTTACAGGAGCTCGTTCAGACAAAGCTGCTCCAGTATCCTCAGCAAGAATTTCATTCTCTTTTCCTATTTTCACTGACCCTGAAAGAAAATGATTCGATTGATCTGAATGGTCAGCCTGGTCAGCCTCCACATCCTGCAATATCGAATTATTAGATACCAAAATAACAATATTGGTGAACATTTCAACTCGCAGACAATGGATCAGTACCAAACCTGAGTCATAATATCTTCTTTGGTCTGATGGGTCAATGCATGGAATATGGTCAACTCATGTTCTATATCGCTACCGTGGCAATTAGAAACACAATCCACCTGATTTGAACGCTTTTCAACTGCATTCATATCAATCGATATATTTTCTTCAAGTGCCTCTTCAGTTTGCCTGCTAATAACATCATCAGGCACACCAGCTATTTGTCCGCTTGTTCTTGAACTAATTTCGCACACATGGTTTAATACATTTTCCTTTGCTTTTCGTGAGTGATCAATGTATTCTGGATTTTCGGTAGTTGAATTATTAGAGAATTTCGGATCGACAGACTCCGCATCCACAATGTCAGCCAAGAACTGATCTGGGCTTCCTTCAGGACTTCCGGTTAAGTCATTCTCAGGGCTATTGCCTTTCGTGGCCTTTTCTAGTCTAGTGCTCAGCTGGATATTCAGCTTTCTGTATCCCTTCCCATCCTCATCAGGGCCAGCTAAATTTGCAGAAGAGGCTCTAGGGAATTGTGCTCTGCTTTTACATTTAACATCAGCACATATGCCCTTTAAAATGATAATAATAATAATCAAGAAGGCAAATTATTTTTTCACTCGACACAATATTTTGAAAACCTTTTCAGAAAAGCTGACCGCCTATGAAGATTGAGTTGAGGTGATGTGAATACGAGTGGAGGAGAATTCAGCTCCGGGAAAACTTGCGTAACTGGTGGGGCCCTCACTGTCTGTATGGGGGAAAGGTTGCTAAGAAAATTGAAAACAGGGGAATCCTGAGACCCAAAAGGAAGCAGCGTGAGAGGAATACTTTTTCGAAGAATAAACTAGGTGACCCTCATTACTTGCAACAACTATACCTAGTGATTTCTACTGAACTCACACATTTAACAAAGAAGAGGAAGTTCAGTAACTGCATAGGATTAAATTCAAGGACCAAATGGGAAAGTACCAGAGCAAAAAACCTTTGCCTCAACACCCCTTGAAAATACGAGGAAACATTGTGTTCTCGACTCCACAATAAAAGAAAGTTATATAAAATAAAATAAAAGTGTGACTCCTGGCTTTATGCATTGCTAGGAATTCAGAAACTACATATGACTTATAGAAGAAATTTACTTCATCACCCAACTTAATATTCCACATTTCCTAGCAAGTGACATCCAAATCCTGCAAGCTACCGAGTTTTCAAACAAAGAAAGCACCCAGGCTTCATGCCCAAATCAAATGTAACACATGAGATCACTTCAATTTCCTGCTATAAGCCTCTCCTCCGCCTCACCAACTTCTAGCATATGGAAGCCGAAATTCCAGCAAATGAACACAAACACAAATTATACAAAAAAAAAAACTAACCCAAATTCACCAACTATGTCTCATTTTAGTACAATTTTAACATTGCCGATCCCTCTTTCAACTTCAACTCCGAGGTTAAACTATGATTTAACATGCCATCCGAAACAAACACAGTATAATCGTAGAATAACCTCACGAACACACATAAAAATGAATCACTAAAACTACAATCGAATATAATAAGCAAAGAGTGTATATGCATGTACTTGAGCCAGCGCAGTTTCACAGTTGGTTGAGGTAAGCTTGGAAGGTTCAGGGGAGTCCATTGCCAAAAACCCTAATTTCCCTTCATTTAATTTCCCTTTTTAACTGTTTGGGTTTATTTTGTTTCACTCTCTGCGCATGACTCACGAGAGTGTGAGAAAGAGTTAAAGATGCCGACACTGTTTATGTGAAAAGTGAAAACATTTCTCAATTTTATTATTAAGATTTTTTCCTATTCTCTTTTTCAACATATTCGTTGAACGATGCAATAATTGCACGACAATTGTCAATTGTTGAATAAAAATATGTAATAATCATAATAAGTAATGTGAAGATCATGCATCGTGGAGCATTAGTCAATTCAATAATCATTTTTTTTTTTCTTTTTGTTATTAAAATCCTTCTAGTTTTTAGTGCATGGAGCATTAGTCAATTCAATAATCATTTTTTTTTTCTTTTTGTTATTAAAATCCTTCTAGTTTTTATATAAACTAGTGTGTATCCCGTGCGCTGCACGGACGGGCTTTTTACTTAAAACCTTATCTAAGACTTTATATTAAACATAGTTATTTATGTTTAACATCTCATTATTATAAGAAAAGAAACACTAAATATGAAAAATTATATATTATTTATTTGAATATAATGAGTGTCCCCAACCAAACTAATAACATCCAACATATGATATATGATAAAATTAATTATATGATCGTCATACTTTTTGAAAAAATATACATATATTTCTAATAAACATGATACATTTAAGATCCCCATTTAAATTTGTATTTGGATATGGGATGAAAAATGAATATGTACAAAAAAAAGTACCAAGAACCCACATAAAATGAGATTCTTTATAAACTTTAAAATATTTTGTAGTTAAGCAAATATTAACAAAAAAAATCATCAATTAAGTTGAACTTTTCGAATATAAAATATAATTTATGATATTGTTGACCATATTTACCCGTTGTATTTAAAGATATCATTGACCATATTTTTATGAATTTAGGTTCACAAAATATCTTTTTCAATAACAATTTTTTTTAATTTGAATTTGACTTTTTCATCCAACCGCCATTTTCCACAAAAATAAAAAAAATAAAAATAGTATTTTGTAAAATGTTAGACGTGAAAATCAAATAAAATTAATTTAATAGTAATCGATTAATTTAATATTATTCAAAATTGTTTAATTTGGTCAACTCGATCGCAGTGCACGTTTAATTGAAACAATCGCTTACAAAAAAAAAGGTAATCGCTTACAAAAAAAGGAAGTGAAATCTATCTATATAATATAAATCGGATTTGAAAAAAAAAAGGAAATGAAATTTCGTAATTAATTAATTTAAATTGATGTTTCCCGATTTATATCAACTCCCTTCCAATAGAAATGTAGACGGGATTATGAAAAAAAATAAAAAAAACTTTACCGAATAAAGTAATAAAACAAAAAAAAAGCGGGAATATGAAGCGGGAAAATGAGATAATTTTTTTCGAGTTTTTTGAACAATTTTTCTTAGTCGTAATATATAGTAATAGATTTTCAAAATGTTACCACACATTTTTTTTCTATTTTTGTTGTTTTTATTAAATTTTATTTACATAAGATATACCTTGGTTAATTTTAAATTGAATCTAAAAGTCAACTCCTCACACTTTTCGAAAAATGTTACCACATAATTTTTTTTCTTGTTATGTTTTATTTACATAAGATATACATTAGTGGTTAATTTTAAATTGAATCTAAAATTCAACTCCTCACATTTTTGAATTTGAATTTTTAAATAAGGAAATGTGTTTCCATATTTTTTGGAAGTTAGAATATGTTGGATTCAATTATCTATAACTAATCATACACGTATTCAAAATTTGAACCAAAACAAAATTCTTTGAATTTTTTGCTAACAAATCACCTTCCCATAATTTATTTATTTCAAAAAATGTTACCACACAATCTTTTTAATTTTGTTTTCTTATTAAATTTTATTTACATAAAATATACTTTTGTTAATATTAAATGGAAGTTAAAATTCAACTCATCACAAATTTGTTAATATATATATAGAGAGAGAGAGAGAGGATTCTCTTTCTTTTACATATTTAAAAAAAATCTAATCAAATTTTGAATCCCGAATAAAAATCAGATTGTAATGTGAACTGAAAAGATTTGAAATCTAATCATGTTGTAGATAAGGGAAATCCATGGCAAAAAAAGGGGAAATCAAACCGAAAAAAATTAAAACCAAATCATGTTGTAGATATTATATTCATTAAATAAGAATTGCATGGCACAAAAAACTGGAAATGCATGGCAGAGTCTAAAAATTTGAATTTTTCAAAAAATTACAACCGAAAGATTTTGGTAAAAAATCAAATATAAAAGAGGGAAATGACTTTAAAAAAGCGGGAAAGCGAAATAATTTTTTTCGAATTTTTTGAACAATTTTTCTTAACCGTATTATATATTAATAGATTTGGGTAGGATTTCCAATTTGGGATCACATTGACAAGGTGATCAATAATATGGAAATTTTATGTTATATTGTCACTTCACTTTGATCGGTCACTTGAGATGTTAGTATAGAACAACAATTTCATCTTTGCTATCACCAATCGAAATTCACTACACAATGGATCAACACAAATTGAAAAAATAACCATAAAAAAGACTCAAAAATATTCCGCTTCGAGTACGAAAATAAGACAAAGACAACGTTCAAACGTAGGCATCGTCTTCAAAGCAAAGTCCAAATTGATCCGAGTACCAATCAAATACATCTAAGTCGATATCAATGCTCAAACACAAAGTAATAAGTAGCCCATGAAAGTTGAAACTCCACATCAAGTCCACATGGCCCACGTTACACTACACCAACACTCCACAAACAAAAAAATACATCAAACCCGACTCGAAATCCAAGTCCACAAACAACCGTAGGTCCATTTAAAAAACAAAAAAAACAAAAGCCCAATCCATCTTTCAATCCCGGCCCGAATCAAGCGACCCGTCTCCATATGAGACCAAGTTTGTCCTGTTACGTGGGGGCGGACTATTATAGGATGGTGACCTCGAACGGCTTTTGTTGGTCGGCCCAACATAAGATGGAGACCTCGAACGGCTTTTACGGGCCGGGCCAACATAGGAAGGCGATCTTGAACGGGCTGGGCCCCTGAGAGATTGAGGCGATCCAGAGGGGCTCCGAGAAGGCGACCTTCGCCTGAGGGTGCGCGGAGAGCCGCGGTTCCTTTCCACGGGGGATCGGCTCCTGGCTGGGCTCGGGCTTCTGCTGTAGCGGCGGCGACGGTAACGGATTGGGCTGCGCGATGGGCTTGGGCTTCGGGTCCTGCTACGCCTGCTGCCCCTGTATCTGCATAACCAAGATTTCACCGGGAATTAGTAGAGTTTGAAAAATTACATGAAATTTGGGGAGGTAATTGCGAAAAATCGACTTAAGGTTGAGGGTATGTGTAAATAAAGCTAACTTGTTGAGGTGGAACAACCACATATATTAAGGTAGTTCAGTAAATAACCATTTTTGAACCAATAGGAAGTAAATATAACTGCAATGAACGATCATGAAAGTACACGGATAACGCGATGACAGACCTTGGAGGAGTTCTTCCTCGAGGTGGACTCCTGTAACGTCTAGGCGACCTTCTGTAACTAGAGTATCTACAAAAAACAAAACCACAGCAAAGAGATTAAGAAAGAGGAAAATGCAAGTTGGAGTTAATTAAAAAATTACCCTAATGGGTTGATCAGTGTTATCCAATGGCCATCATTGTACCATCCGCCATTAATAACATTCGGTTCAATCTATATATGAGACAACCATCTTTCAAAAATTACACATAACTCTGTTGACACGTGACGTAATTAGTTGCCACAAGCATCACGCACATGCATGGTTCTAATATCATAAAGAGGAACTCGTAATTTTGAAAGATAAATCTTGTAACTAGGTCAAAAATTACAGATTTTCTACTTACCGGTCACGATCACCTCTACCACCATAACGGTAAGACCTCACAGGCGAACGATCGGGAGAACGGCTCCGGCTCCTGTAACGCCTAACATACGCGTAGCGGTCACTAAATCCCCTCCCTCTCCTGACGCGTTTGGGGGACCCATCAACCGATGGGCTCCTACCACGATCAGAAACGGGCGACCTCACGGGGCTCCGCGAGCGGTAAGCCCTTCTAGGCCCCCTGCCCGCCGGGCTTGGGCTTCTCCTGGGCGGGGCCCTGCCAGAGCTCCGGCTAACACTTTTACGGGCCGGCCTTATTGGGCTCCTGCTTGGAGATGATCTCTTCGACAAGGCCCTTGGTGGGCTCTTGGAGACTCTTCTTACAGGAGGGGAATATGTGGCACTTCTATTATCAGCAGGGCTCATGCTGCCACTTCTTTCCCTAGTGCTTCTTACCGGGCTTCTGCTGCTCTCACTTCTGGCGGGGGTAATGCTCCTGCTTCGGGAGACGGGCCGCGGGCTTCGGCTTGGACTCGGGCTTTGGGTCCTGTTGTGTTTTGGTGTAACATCTGGGCTTCTTCTAGTGGCAGGCATTGGGCTAATGCTCATACTCTGGCTCTTGGTTCTTCTTGGACTTAAGCTCTGCCTCCTGCCCCAAACGTAATCCTCAGTATGCCCGAACAGAAATTGGAGAAGGAATAGGGATTATTACTGAAAAACCGCCCTTGAGGTTTTGACCGGATTTCAAGAAATTTTGATACCGATGAAAATTATAAATACTGCTTTGTGGTATGACAGGCATTCCTTTGAGGTTTGCATTTTCTTGGCAGATACCAATATGATGGTTTAATTTGTAAATGAAAACAAATCGGAAGAGATATGTAGAGTTTTCAAATAGAACTTGATTTTACAGTACTTGCACTGAAACCTCAAGGGAGGCTCATATTAATTATATCTAAAAATAACATAGGAGGCAAGAATGAGAAGGAAACACACCTAGATTTACTAGCAGGATCATCTACTATATCAGGATGCATATTGGCACTCCTGTCAAGCTTCATTCCAACTCCCTTATTATTAGTTTGATGGTGCCCATTTTCATTTGCAAACTCACAGTCCTCCCTGTTTGACGTACCTGCGCCATCTCCTTTCATAGGATTAACTTTCTCATTTTCTCGTTCAACCAGAGGAGATTGATTGTCTTCAGAGTGAGATTGCACCAAAAAAAATTAATATTAATTATAAGGGGGGAAACAGGAAGGAATTGGCGAACCAGAAAACAAATGCACCATGATGAGCATCTCACCAGAGCGTTTATGCCCAACTGCAACATCATCTTGAGAGCTACTTCCAGAATTATTATCGCTCTCGCTGTCTGAGGCAATATCCCTACAACAATTTACTAAGTCTTAATTAAAAATCATAAAGATAGGTAACCGTAACATTTTCCACATGTACTAACGCTATCGATNAAATTTCTCTGCCTTCAACAAGTTTGCAAGGAGAAGGAGAATATAGAATTGGAAAATATATCTTCAATTTGCCAATCTTAGAATTCACAAGTAGAGGTACATTGTAGAAAATGCAGTATCAAATAAAAATAACCAGTAACGGTTTGGTCATTCGATCAATGTAGTTTGCCTACCTTTTAGATTTCTTTTTCTTCTTGTCCCGCCTCCTTCGTCTTTTCTCACGTTGCCTATCCTTCTTTCTTGCACGCCTATGCCTGTCCCTCTTGGATCTCTTCCGTCTCTTACGACGATCATCACTAGAAGAACTGGTGTCACTTAAAGAGGAAGCATCAGATTCAGAATCTGTGTCTGAATCAGATGAATCAATATCAGTATCTGACGAACTATCTGATTCAGAGGTATAATATCTTCTTCTTTTCCTCGTTTTCCTTGAAGATTTCTTGTGCTTCCCCTTGCGTTTTACAGCGTGATTATTTTGCTCTATAGCATTCTTCCCCATTTTCAAGTTATTCTCCCTCTTTTTATCTGAACAGAACAGGAAGCTTTAAGCTTCAGCATGTTGAAGTAATTGATTAAGATACATAAAATAACAAAAATATTTTTCTTACCATCATGTAATTCTCCAGAATTGACTATTTTCACTGTCACAACAGGTTTCCCCATCTCATCTCCGGCATCTTCGATCTTCTTCAACACTTCATACCCATCCACAAGTTTACCAAAGACAACTCTTTTCCTGTGGATATATATAATACATAAGAATGCCAAGTTGGACAAAGTAATATCACAACTTAATACATTTTAGCTCCCTCATTCTACTTTGTTCTAATCAACTTTCATATAGAATGCAATGAAGAATCACCAATCACCTACGCCACAGCAGACATATCTTGGGTAAATTGGAAGTTAGTGATAATAAACCTAACAGCTAGGACAAAAGATGCATCAAAGATTATCAAACACAGATGGAAGTGATGACAGCAAACTTAAAAATTTAGATGAAAATTTCCAATAATTTATGACAGGGTCTTTTAGGCATAAACCATAACATATCTTCTCACAATAACAACAAATAACTATAGATTACCAACTGTTGTTGGCGGCCATTACGGATTCAGTTTAAATTTTTAATACAAGCACTGAAAAAGATACACAAGTAAGAATAGAAGAACAAACCTATCAAGACGATGATCAGCCTTAAAGGTGACAACAAACAATGAGCCCCTTTCATCACGATCAGCAATTGCCATAGACAACAAACCAGCTGCATCATGACTCAAGTTTGGAGACTCATCTGAAAATTATATATGGATCAGATTTCAGATACTAAATACTGAAAGCGACAATAGAAGACCTTGTCCACAAACAATTTTACACGTAAGACGGTAAAAGGAGCAGCTTACTAGAGGCCAGAGACCTTCTAACATGACACAACCTACAAAAAATTATTTAGCTGCTGTACTATGTGTAAGAAAATAAAAAGGAAGCTTTCAAAAATCAATTGTAGCTGATCTCAAACAAAATTAAATGCATGCAGCAGTTGAAACTAATCTTTGGTCGTAAGTATACATCTTGATGCTTCAAATTCATTTCCATCGTTTCAGACGTGGTCAGCTTTCTAATCTATATGCAATTATCTTCTTTCTCCGCCTTGAGCGTTAATGCGAACATTTCTTATTATCTTCTTTAGTTTAGTAATAATACCAAATAAACCATACAAGAAACATGAAAATGAAATAGATCATCATTCAGCTATTGAACATGAGCATTTGCCGCGGTAGAATCAACCAAAGCGGGAAAAAGATCAATGGATATGTAAGTTTGAATGATTGGAACAGCAACATTAACAAGGAGTGGAGCATAATGAACTGCAAGATCCCCAAACTAATACTGCGAAAATGTAAATATATGGCTGATCCAACTATAGGTAAAGTGCGTAGGAGAATGGACACAATGACAACTATGTTATTATGAGCATAAAGACTGTTCAAATAATGCTTAATGAAATCCACATGAAATAGCATGCATTTATTAGAGAGAAATAATGGCCCTGTGTCTAACAGCTGGAAAGAGCAACACCATTCAGGGTTTACAGTATTTTAATCTGATGACTGTTCAACTGTCATTACATAATGACAATGCCATGCAGTATGCATATATATTGAATTACAGCATTAAAAAGTTCAGTCAAGTACTATGAATTGTTTTTTTTTTTTTTTCAAAATACAAAAGACTACATATCACGAATTAATAGGATTTCAGTCTTGGTTATTCGCCGGGGTCAAGCAACTAGCTGCTCCTACAGTCGCTCAACATGCTACGGAGCAGATAAATAGACAACAAAAGTTTGAGTGTTCAATCAAAGATAACAATTCCTACCATAGTATGAGAAAACAATTGTTCCAATACCATGTGAACTGAAGCTCCAACACAGCGAGAATAAGATCAAACTCAGCCCCAACCTTCACACAGGCAATAGAAAGGAAACCCACTAGTTTTTAACACAAGAAGTTGAGAAAGAAATACATTAATATTTTGTGCTATTTGGAAACAGTTCTGTCGTATGCGCCAAGCTTCAATCTGAAAAGTAAAAAGTTCTAGATATACACGGATTTATGCCATAAATAATTAGTGGTTCCTACTACATGCCATACAAAAGAGTTCCATTAAAGGAGGAACTCGAACTATTTCTCACCTGGAAATTTCCCGCCGTATATACTTTCTCCATATTCACCTGCAAAGTTGAACACAAAATTATATATTCATCCTGAAAAATAGAAAAGAAAAAACAAAATGAAATTTTATATCAAGGCGTCGCAACATACCATTTCGCCTAAGCAAGTCCCCAGCCTGTAATACAATTAAAGACTGTCAGTCATTATTTATTACAAAGAAAACGAGGATGATGCTATTAATGGCAACATTATTCAGACAACTCAGTTAGTATAACCTTAAAAAAATATGACAAGACAATGAGACATTCAGTAGTGACCATCAGCCCTGTCACAGCATACACAAGGACAACTGACCAGAAGAAAAGGACTTCCGAATTTATTCAACCAATACAATAGCCACAGCAAACTAGCAATATTTAGCACATGCGAGTATACGACAAAAATTAAAAACCTAAATCACATACCTCAGCAGCTTGTCCTTTGACAATACGGTGAAAAAAGGTCCCTTTATAGTGTAATCGCTTCCCAGTTTTAAGGCTGACGCCTTTTTCTCCTGAAAAAATGGACAGTTCAGACATGAGACGAGAAGAATACATATCATGAAACAAGAGGATAGGATTCAACGAGATTTAAAGTAGAAGTTTCTTAGGAAACTCGTTAGCATATTTCATAATAAGGCCGAAGGTGCTACTAGCTATAGGAGCATCACCCTTCTACAAACCAACTTGGAAGTCAAAGAAACATCAATTGTTGAAAGGTTGAGAAATTCATGAAAGGAAAAGGGAAACATAAATTACAGAATGTGGCATCATCATAAATCATACGCGTTTATGGTAATAGTACGCGTGAACTGCAAAAAAACGCCGAAAACAAACAATTTACCAGTACAAAGCGCACGAAAGTTTTCAGCAGTCTTCGGAGCCACATCAGTGAAGAGCTGCATTTAATTAGTAATACCATAAGACAATATCATCTAGTTAGTTCAAATGTACTAGAATCTACTGAAATGGAGTCAAAATTCACACACTCTAATAACATATTGCACCTCGAAAATCATCCTCTCGAAAGGATCCCCATCAACCGAGACATCCAAAAATACAAGCACCTTATTCTTATTCATTTTCTCCATGTCCAGGCTTCAGTGCCACATTAACGTCAATACTAATAACAGATTGAAAAGGTTAATCAGCACAATAATAAACAGCAATAGTAATGACAATGATGTTCCTCAAACAAGAAAATAAGCATATCATCGATCTCCTTTGCCCATAATCAGATTTAAGAAGGGGGCTACAAATTTCGTAATATTCACACCGATACCCAAAGTACCCAATAAATATAATTTATGTAATATTAACTGGATTACTCAAACATCAGCGACCATAACTCGTGAGGAAAAATCATATACATCAAAAGAATTCAATTTTCGCCTCAAATCCCACCGGCAAACTGATGATGGAAATGGAATTCCAGACAAACAGTGATCGCTAACAAACATTATTGAATTATTCAATGAATCACACAAATAACATATTTGATAGATTATATGTCACTTATTGCTGGGGTTTTGAGCACCTGCGGCTGAAAACACATCTCCTTTCAATGTACCCAAACGATATACCTACCATATTAGAAGTACAGGAGCAATGAGACAACCAAGTATTGATTCAGGATTCACATATATAATAAATTAGAGGCAAAATTCAAGCACATAGACACATTCCAAACCCTAAACCCTTTTAAACAAGTTCTTCATCTAAAAAAACAATGTATTTGCACAGATATTAACTCCATAACTCGAACATCAGCAACCAGAACTCATGAACAAAAAAAAAATAGATAAAAAACGATTCAATTTCTGCCTCAAATCCCGCCCGGCAAACTGAGGAGGGAAAGTAAAATCCAACCAAACTGTGATCAGATAACTACAGCTCCAACAAACATTATTCAACGGATAAAAAGAATAAAATAATAGATAGACTATACGTCACTCATATCTAGGGTTTTGAGCACCTGCAGCTGAAAGCACATCTCCTTTTCCAGAAACACAGTGACGATGAGAGAGAACGTTACTCACTGCGTGTGAGATGAAAAACCTAAACCACATGACATAAAAACCCACTTTCGCTTGACAATATTGTTCTGCTTTTAAGATTGGGCCGGCTTGCCAAGTCGACCCTAGTCCTGGTGGATGGGAGTTGCAAGTCAGGCCCAATATTGTGTTATAGCCGGAACATTTCAACTTGGGTAATGAGTTGAACGGGCCAGCCCAGTTGATGGATGACTCGTTTAATTATTTTATTTCTTTCCAGTTTTGGTCTTTTAATTATCCTTTTCGTTTTGTAATATCATTGGTTTAACTTAAAGTTTAAACATGCACAGCCCTTAAAAATTGTGATGGTCTCGCGTTCACTTAGGGCCGATGTATACTAGAACGAGCTAGGGAATTGCGTAGGCTCAATATTTTGTACTAACTACATATAATTAATATGATTTAATCAGAAAATAATATTTAATATATGTAAAAATATAAATACAAGATTTTATTTTGAAATTTTAAATAATTCTTACAAAATAACATGATACACCTCACCAGTCGGAATCGACGATATTACATTGGAACATTTTTAGTACTTATACCATATAATAAGCTTGATAGATAAATTTATTGTTTTTCAATTATAATTGATAAATATTTAAATTTTTATTGATAAAGATCAGTTAGATATAATTATTTTAATTTACATATACAATATGAATGTCAAATTATACATTGTTAAAATTTAAGTTATCATATATAAAAAATGATAATATATACAAATGTTATTAACTTTTAAAATATATTTACAATTTATGCTACCCAAGCGTTTACACTTGAAAGTTCTTGATAAATATCCATATTTATATGGACTATTTCAAATCCTTTGAAACTAACATATAGAACTACAAAGCGTTGGAAATTGAAAATGAGAAACTCTACATTTATATATAAAAAGATAATCCATAAGGAAATCTTTATAAAATAATATGAACAAATATAATGACATTTAGGCATTTTTAAGTTAATAAATTATATTTCAAAATGACTTGTTTATTTCCTATTACACAAATAAATTAAATACCTCAGAATTTTGTAAGACTTTTTAAAATCCCAATTGAATACCCCAAGATTTTTAAAAGTCTTAACAAATCTAAATTGAATACACCAGGATTTCTAAAATCTTAAAAAGTCCTTAGAAATCCTAATTGAATACACCCCTCTTAATTCTAGAAAATTAGCTGATAAATTTGAACAATGAGGTAATCTATATCTATATATATATAAAGGTTTGATTATTTTTTAAATAGTAATTATTTCTCGCCAAAAAATGTTGTTTACTAAATGTGGAAACTATTTAAATATTTTATAGTATGTTTTAAATCACATAAAATTTAATTGTGACTGATTTATTAAGGTAATAAATCACATAAAAATTTCTTTTGTATCTCAAGATAATCATATCTTATACATGTATGTACATATATACCATATATTTGTACGTAAAATATCGAGATATATATCTGTTGTATCAATTGTCTTTCGAATTATTGCTACAGTCTTACAGCGATTCTAGCGATATAATTCAATAAAAGAAATACTTTTGCATATTTCTCCCTTTACTAAGAAAAACTACTTGTGTGTGTAAATAATTAGCAGTTTAGCACCAATAATCTTGAATGAAACATTGGGAATACAAAAATTACTAGCATGTTCACATGAAATTTTAGGCAGTCAATTTTCATGATGATAATGGATGTCACTAAAACACTTAAAAAATATAATTATAATAAATTATATGATTAGCAAGTATGATACGACACGAATTTTCATGAAACATTACTATTGAAAATAAAAAAGATATTTGAACAAATATTTTTTAGTTAAATTTAAAATTTATAATTTAATTCTAGAGAATTAGTTAATAAATTTGAACGATAAGATATCCGACAAAAAATTTAAAAAATTGCGAGATAATATGTGTGTGTTTGTGTGAGTGAATATATAAGAGAATTTATTGTGTAGTTTAAATTTGAGTTGCAAATTTAAAAGCTAAATAAGTAATTATTCATAACTTAAGGGTCAATATCAACTTGGAAGTAATTAAAATAGTCAATTATTTATAGTTTAATAAAATACTCAACTACTTAAATTTTTTGATTGGATAGTTTATAAAAAAAATAAATTTATTTTAATTAATGAAACAATTTAAGTTTTATAATTATATTTTATTCACGCAGATTTTTAAATATATGATAAAACTGTACTAAAATAATTATTTTATGGAGTCACATTCATAGTTTTTAAACCTGGCCCGGTGATCGACCCAGGTAGGTCCTCGGGTCACCGGGTCACCGGTTCAACCGTCGGGTCACCGGGTCACCGGTTCAACCGTCGGGTCACCGGGTCAATTGTTGAACCGGATAATTAATTTTAAAATTTTCAAAATTATATATAGAGTATTTTTGTTATATAAATATACATAAAAGTAAGAAAATTAAATGTTTTGTGTATAAAATTTGTATATTAAAGTGTTAATAGTATGTATCTCATGATAAATATTTACCATATAAATATATATACATAGTTTTATTTTTAAAAAAAAAATAATAATAATAATATATGGACCGGGTCAACCGGTTTTGACCGGGTCCTTGGTTGCCCGGTCCAAATACTTCACCCAGACCGGTTCCGGCTCCGGGTCCTGAGTCCACCCGCCGGGCCGGTCTGGGTCACAAAACACTGGTCACATTGTATCCAATGGAATTTCTAAATAAAAATCTTAGAAATGACACTTATTTTAAAATGAAGATAATATAATTTATTACCAGTTACGTGCACTGTACAGATTGTGTGCTAATTTTAAATAGACAAGTTTAATGTAATTTTTCACAATTTAAATTTTATAAAATATTTTCAATAAATTAATATAGGTAAATTATATTACATATTGATTCTATATTTTTAATTTATAAATATTAATTAATTAGAATTTTTAATTTATAAATATTAATGACTATCTATTACATGTGCATCGCACGGAATTCATACTAGTTATCTATATAAATATAAAAAGGTTTGACATTTTACCTGAAATAACAACTGAATTTCCGCCAAAATTTTTAAAACTTACTAATCTTTGTAATTTTTTTCAGAATTTTTGAAATATCCCGCCATTGAATCATTAATTTCGAATTTCAAAATTGTTTTGAATTCATTTTGTGCTAAATTTCATTAATTATGGGAACAAAATTTGATTATGATTTTCAATATAAAAAAAAAATATATTCCTTGATTAGATGAGCCGCAACATTCCAAATAAATCCTCTTAGGGAGAATTTCAGATTCTATTATGATATATTAAATCTATCTATGTTGATTTCTCAATGAATTAACATATGAGAATATAAGAGTCAGGTTTCTCAATAAATTAACATACGACCAATTAACATATTAGATCATACTATATCATTCATATTAGGTATAATAAATTAACATACGACCAATAAAAATATTAATTATTTATATTTGGAAGAATTGGATTTGGNTTTGAAGAATCGGATTTGTTTTTGCACATTTCGCGTGCCTCTAATTTTGTGGCTACTGGCAGATTTTGCGGCTACTGGTGGCGGATTTGTCGGCTTCGCTTAGCGCCGGTGTTAGAAGTCGGTTGTGGTTCCTCCGGGTGCCGGCGGGCCGATTTTGGGTTTGGTGTTAGAAGTCGGTTGTGGTTCCTCCGGGTGCCGGCGGGCCGATTTTGGGTTTGGTTCGTGGTTCGGCTTCGGCTTCAGCTTCTGTATAGGTGGTTCGGCTTCTTTCTTGGAGTCGACTGTTGCTTTGCTGATTCGGCTCAGTTGCTCTGCTGTGGAAGGGCTCGTGTTATTTTTATTTTTATTTTATTTTTTCTGTTTCAATGTTTTAGTTTGTGGGGGTAGGTTTGTGTTTTTGATCTGGACACTTAGCCCCTGTTACGAGCGAGTGTGAGCGTATTATAATGTTGGGTCCGTACACTTAGGTATTATCATGTTGGAATCATTTTCGTAGTTTTTTAGTTTTGTTTGTGTTGTTGCGCGTTTGTTATTCTAGCGTTGTTAGGATAAGCTCTAGACGATCTTTGCTCTTTGGTCTTTTCAGCCTTTAGTTGTACTTTTCAGCTTTTTGTTGTTTTCTTTTCGCACGCGATCTTTAGTTATAAATATATCTATCGTTTCGAACAAAAAAAGAATCATTATAATACTGACATTGTTTTCAAATTGAAAATTGTTTGNAAAAAAAAAAAAAAATTGCTTATGACTATCATCTAAACTTTTGATCAATTCAATCCTTCTTTTTTATACATCAAAATCACAACAAATATATTTGCATGATTTGGATTCTAAGAATAAATAATGTGTTGTTATTTCATTGTGTTATCACATTTTGTGTTAATATATTGTGTTTAATTGTACGAAAAGACCTATATTGTGGAAATCATTTAGGCATATATTATTGTTAATTCAAAATATAACGTTTGATGTGCACATCATTAGAATATAGATTTGTTATTCAATTCATTGTACTTATCGTGTTATAATTTTAAGTTATGATTCATAATATTTTATTCTTATTTCGTATTTGTGTTTGATGTGTTATAGTTTAAAACATGTTGGCAGGGATTTTAGATAGTAATCATTTTCTATTTTTATTTTTTATTTTAAAATTTTGGATAATTGTGATTCTAAGAATCATTATAATTTAGGAATCTTACTGCAAATTCGAAATTAATTTGAAAATTTTCTATGGGTAAATACAATGAAAATTGGTTGATACACTATCACAATATTTTTTTTAATAAATAATTTGATTATTTTTTAACAAATCAATATTTGAATTTTTAGTCCTGTCTGACGCATTGGTTTCCCCATATATAATGTAACCTCGCCTTAGCGGAAATTCATAATGAAATTGTATACTTTTTAGTGTTTTAAAATGTTTATAATGTAATTCCTCGCGTTTTGGTTCTTATACTAGATAGCGTAAATAGAATTTGATGTTGCATAAGCTATAAGATTATAAAATATAGTTTGTTAGAAATATCAAAATATTTTCATATAATAAAATTTGGTTGTTAATTTAAAAAATTATCTTAATATATATTATACAACAATAAATTTTAGAATAAAATAATAGTTGAGTATTATAATGAATAAAAAGAGGTGGATTTTATTTTGGTATGAAATGTCCGAATTTAAATGGTATGAATATCATTTGGTATGGATAGAAGTGTATTTAGAAATTTTAAAATAAAAAGAGTGATATGAATTTTATTAGTATGCGTATGAAAGGCGAATTTTAGGTTGATTTGTTATAAAATCAAGGTAATATGATTCTCAAATTTTAGCATATTTTCACATAACTTGTCATAAGATATTGATGATAATTTGACAAATTGCTCTGTATTCTTATTGAAAATTAGAAAGATCTTTGAACAAATATTTGTTAGTAAAATCATAATTTGTAATTTAATTCTAAAAAATTAGTTGATAAATTTGAACGATAAGGTATCCGATAACGAATCTAGAAAATTTGGAGATTAGTAATATATACATATATATATATTATACAATAAAATTTATTTTGTAGTCCTAATAAATTGTTTATGTAAATTCGTGTAGTAATTGTAAATAGACATTTTTATGTAATTTTCACAATTTAACTTTCATATAATATTTTAAGTAAATTAATATAAATAAATTGTATTACATATTGATTTCATATTTTTGATATATAAAAAGTAATTATGAACATTTTTAATTTATAAATAGTAATAAATATTTCTTACCCGTGGGGATTCGTACTAGTTTATTTTACAAACACACCCTAATTTTTTGTTTTATTTTTGTTTCTTTTCATAGCATTCACGTAAAAAGCGTAACTCTCTAAACTAAAAAGTGCTTTACCATAAGACGATTTTCATACTAAGAGCCACGCAAGTCGCATTTCATAACCCCAAACAATTTTGGCTCACACACGTTTAGCTTCGACAGAAATGGAGGGCTCAGCCTCAGCAAAAGCAGAGGGAAAGCCATGGCGGGTACTCGAATTCTACAGCGGCATTGGCGGCTTGGTGAGCTTCTTCAATCTCAATTCAAATTTATTGAAAAGGGTTTATGTGCTTTTCTCGTATTCGCGCCGCACTTCCTTACGGGCACCAGCTCATTTATCTGTTTTATTTTTATTTTTTATTTTTTAATTTCTTGAAGAGGTATTCATTGATGAGGGCAGGGGTAGATGCTGTCGTAGTCGAAGCATTCGACATTAACGACGTTGCAAACGATGTGTACGAGCACAATTTCGGCCACCGTCCCCATCAGGTGAGCATCGCCTTGATTTGCTTGCTGGATTGTGTTTTGTTGTGCGTATTGAATTCGTCTGCTGGTTTTTAGGGTTTGTGTGAGCTTTGATTGTCTTGAACAGCTTGAAGTTGCGGTTAGAGCTCAAAAAGTAGTTTAAATAGTTCAATAGCCAGGTTAAAACAAACAAGAGGCTTGAGTATTTCTGATAAAAAAATGTTAAACGTTTAATGGAAACAAACTCGTTGTTGAATAGAAAGCTTTTTTGAGCTGATGATGTCTGAGTTTGAGTTGGTTCTTGCACAAACCTGCTGGAAACATCTGGCAACGTGCTGGGCAGGCCTTGTTTGAAAGTCTATGAACATTGTTTATGTGAATACTGAGTGGAAAAGTATCCCTATGAAGTAGTTATTAGAGCTGATTTACAATTTTAAAATCAATTAAAGGGAATCACATAATTAACATTATCCATTGTTGTGGGAATAGGGTAATATTCAGACATTGAGTGCTGCTGATCTCGACAGCTATGGGGCGGATGCGTGGCTTTTGTCACCTCCTTGTCAGCCTTACACAAGACAAGGTGATTGAACTCTCTTCATCTCTCTCTCTCTCTCTCTCTCTCTCTCTCTCTCTCTCTCTCTACATATATATATGTATGTATTTGTGCGTGTACTTATTAGAAACTTGGGTTTTTATCAACTTGCGGTAGCTTCTAAAAATCATCTTGTTAAGGTCTTCAGAAGGGTTCGAGTGATGCTAGAGCTTCTTCATTCCTGAAGATTCTTGAACTGATACCTCAAAGTTCACGGCCTCCAATGATGCTATTCGTTGAGAATGTTGTTGGATTTGAGGTAGATTGTTTTAGCTACATGCATTTTCTGTTGAGAGGAAAAATAGAATCAGTTGATTCTGTCAGTATATATCCTCTAATATTGCGTGTCGGCTTTCTGTTATATGTGATAGGTGTTACCTTTCCTCCTAATACTTTACATGTAAGTGTTTTTATTATTGTCGATGCAGATATCTGATACACATTCAAGGATGATTACAATTTTGCGGGAAAATCATTTTGACACTCAAGAATTTATTCTCAGTCCTCTGCAGTTTGGCATACCATATTCCAGACCTCGCTATTTTTGTCTGGTCTCTCTCTCTCTCTCTCTCTTTCTCTCTTCTCTCTCTCCCCAGCTCTAATACACTTATATCTATTTTCTTTGTGAGTGGTTATGCACTTATGCTACAATGAGGTTCAAATTTTACTAAGTCTATTTTGCTGTCCTTCGTGGCTGATATTGACCTCTATGTAATACATCAAATCTAGTTAGTTAATAAAACATAATGGCAAATCTGTAATGGTTTAGCTAAAATCGGTAACCTGTGAAAAGTTTTTGGTTTTTTATTGGAATGAACTCTTACTTAAATGAGATGACTTCTTCCTTTACAATTCTTACAGAAGTACATCATACCACATGAAAGAAAAGCAATGCAATAAGTTTTGCACTTCCTATATTGATATATATTTTATTCATATTTTATTCACATGTATTATATATTTTTGCAGGCGAAGCGAAAACCTCTATTTTTTCAAACCACACAGTTGAATAATAAGCTTGTTTGGGCTCCGGGCCCAATACTTGGGTACGAAAAAAACATGCCGACCAGAGAAGATGTAGAATCACATGCATATTGTAATGAACTACTTGAAAGGTGTCAACCTATACAAGATTTTCTTGAACTAAAGGATTTGAGCTGTGAAGTTGATTCAGAATCGGCCATCATGCTTGCTAATGTTGAAGGAGGAAATGTATTCGTTGATAATATTTCATATCAGTATTTAGTTCCAGATAGCTTAGTGGAAAGATGGGGGAGTGCTATGGGTATCCTTCATTCTGATGTGTTATTGTTACTCTCTTTCTTTCGCATGCACATGAGTAGTTCCATTTCTATAATTACTATGGTATTGAAAAATAAAAAATAAAAAAATATCCTTGATAAATCTTAGATGTTGTTTTCCCCGAGTCAAAGCGTTGCTGTTGCTTTACAAAAAGTTACTTTCGGTATGTGAAAGGCACCGGCTCCCTTTTGGCAACTGTTCAGGTATGCTTCTCAACCCGATTAATTTCCAAAGAGATATCCACCAGAAATGAATATTTACTTGCACTATTATTAATTATATTTCGGTCATATGCACCTGTGCTTATGTATTAGAACTTAAAGAAATTCACGAGAAAACAATGAATATATATAAATATTATATTTCTCTAGTGAAAATGCAAACGTGTAATCCTTTGCCAGTAAGGGAGTAGCCGAGTAGCTTTGTTTTACGAAGCTTGCAATTATTTATATACTAAAATTTTAGATTTTAATCTCCAATATTTACGCAGCCGTATTTGCTAAAACATATTTGCAGGGAAAGATGAAAACTGAAACCTCTTCACTGCAGGAGCTTCGTCTCAGATACTTCACGCCAAGGGAGGTACAGCCAATTTTTCTACTCACAAAGCTTGAACAACTGCAGGCTTGATAGTGGCTTTATTTTTGCCTAATTTATTTACTCGAGCATGTATTCCTCAATGTTATTATTAGGTCGCCAATTTACACTCTTTTCCGGAAGAGTTCCAATTTCCACAGCACGTTAGCCTTCGGCAACGGTATGTTTTGTCTTTCTATGTTCCTTCTTGACATATTATGACAAAACGTGCACCATAGACAGCACTTTCTCTTCTTCAGAACTTAATTAAGT